CAGCTCCATGGTCAACTTCTCGGCCGTTCCTATCTATGGCAATTAGCTGTTAAAAGTGTTCGTGTGTTTCACCAGTTATCGCCGACCCACCCACGTGCCCGAATCGCCCTCCGCGCGTTATCTTGCGACAAAATGCATCTCGTTGGACCGGAACAGCTGGACCCGAAAACGGGCTTTGGATTGTTGCAGTAGATGTTCGCATGCAAGGACGACGTCAATATTGCGAAAGAATGACGTTCCCATAATGCTAATCATTCCCTTTTCATGCAGTCCTCCGATCTTCGTCTTTTTTCCGATCAGTATCATGCTTCTAAGAAGCGACCTCAAAGTTCCCACAAATGGTACCTCTTTTCTTTGAAGTCATCTCACCGCTAACCAGAAGAAACCACGTCATAATCACTAACACGAGAGATGCAACTATAAACGTGGCGAGAGAATGCTTTTACGATTTATTCTTGATTTAGCTTTAATATAAATGATGTTTCGGCGAATGAAATGTTATTTCATTTTTTCAAGAATTAATATTTTTTTGCTCTATTTAAATTCTCATACAAACAAATTTATCTAGTTTTTAATACTTTTTATATACTTTTAATGTCATACATACAGAATTTTATTATAATTTATCTTTAATGAGAAATTATCCTTTGGATAATTATGTATTAAAATTAAAATTATAAAATTAAAATTATAAAATTTTTATTGTATTGATCGTATAAATAACGAAAGGTGTTATACATTACAAACATAATATGATAATTCTGTTATAATTCTGTGAACAGAACAAACACGCGAAATACATATATTTTGAGAAGTATTTCACGCAAAATTTTTATTAATATTTATTATGGTTTGATGAAGGACATGCACGCATTTCGTTGACGCACGAATAGAGAACCCCTTATACTATCGGCTAACAAGGCAAAATTAGTCGTGAAATATATCTAGACTATTTTAGAACGTGGTACCCGTGACAGGATGGCGAGGAATGGAACCTATTAGCGGTACCGCCTCTCAATTAGTAGCAGTTAAAGATGACCGTGTGCTATGCTTATTTTCCTCAGATTGTTCAAATTACGAAATTACTATAAGGTTTCACTCCCTAGATATTTTCATTTCTCATCATCGGAAAAAGAAAAATCAAAATTTAATATAATTACTTTACAAAAAGAATATTTCCTGCAAATTACGTGCCACAAATTGTCGATTGAATATTTCTGTTAATAAAAATTTTAGTAATAAAAATGCAATATAATTTTTATATAATAATTTTAGAAGATGTTGTTGAAAATTTATTTAAACTTTATTTAACATATAGTATAATCACATGAATTTGTACTCAAGCGACGTTGTATCGATATAGTAAACTATATTTTTCAAGAATACCGCGGTATCTTGAGAGAACCGCTTCAACTTTGGAATCCTTTTGTCTCGACATTATTGAAAGATGTTTTAAGGATCACTAGGAATGTTGCGGGAGGGCACCTTCGGGTATTCGAGAATAGCGATGAGACGAGGACGAAGGAGAATATTGCGAGTCAGATAGCGAGTGATGAAGAAGAATGAAAATAGTGAGTGGCGATTCCCTCTAGCAATTCATGCGGGCGCACTGTCCTAATTACAACGGAGCCTTTTATTTTACTTTTTTTTTTCTTAACTGAAAGGGACCGAAATATTTGCCCGCGGCAATGGCGGGAGCTAAACGATTTTGGACCATTCTCAGGACTCATTCAAAGCGAAGTGCAAAAGAATCATCGTCGATGATAGAACAAACTAGAAGAGACGCCAAAGAAGGCTAGAAGAAAAGAACAAAAAAAAGTGTAAAGCGTATCCTGTAGAAAAAGAACATCGCAGTTTTCCAAACCATTCATAATACCGACCGATCTTTGTGGTCTCTTTTCATTCAATTCTCATTCATATCTCATCGTATCGATTGTCGAGTTTTACCATCAACAATTAGTACCCTACACTTCTTTAATAATCAGTCTGAAAATCCGACTCCATTCGATCCCTTTCTATCTACTAGCAGTAGGTGCCGGACTTTCGGATTCCATCGAGGAAGATCAATCTGCCGCTTATTTGTTAATCATTGTTGGGATATTCTTGAATCTTGAAATAAGTATTATTAAATACATTTATATTTGCGAAAATGTTATTGTAATAAATTTACTTTTTATCATTCGAATAATTTATACGAAATAGTAACACAAAACGCATTTACAAATAAAAAAATATATTCGATTTTATAAATAGTGAAGAATATTTCGACAATTGTTTTTCGTAAATAATTTGACAGCGCAAATTTTTTCACGATACCATGTGCTATTATACATCGAAGGAATTATCTGTTTTACTTGAAGCAATCCCATCTTCTTATATGGAATCGTATCGTTCTTCAGCGGTCAAACGTAGGAAGATGGGCTAACGATCTTAATGGCTCGGCAAAACATTGACACCTCGGCGGCGCTCAGGGGACCATCTGGACGAGGATACCAAAGAGAAGGCGGGCAGAGATCGTTAAACACAGGGTCAGCACGAGAGAAGTGGAAATCCTTATGAGAAAGTAAGTTGGGCGAACGATGACAACGAGCTAACAGCGTGTGCAAACATGGCGGCTTGGGACAGAGCCGTACCGGGTCCGATGATCATGTACTTACGCGTTTCCTCTCAAACACTGACTACGTCGACAGCTCCAGAGACACGGCATCGGACACTGATCATGGGAAAAGATAGATTCCGCTTGTTCACGTTGGAATGTCCGAGCCGAATGCTCGAGCAACATGTGCTGATGATCGGAGAATTGTCTCGTTAATTTTCAAAAGTAAATAGTGAAATGTGTACAAAGTACATTTACAATTGTATCCTTGGAGTAAAGATTTAGTGAATATATTAAATCGATTTCTTTAACACATTTATTTAATAAATTCATTTAATAATAGAGGAAATTGTAATGAGAAGGATAAAAAGAATGGCATTGAAGAAACAACGACAAAATGTTTTGAATGGTCTTTGGTTTAATATGATACAACTGAGTGGGCATTCTGAGCACAAAAGAGCCCACTTCCATATCCACAATTATAATCCGCATTTTATTACTATTATTACAGAATATTATCAGATCTGTTCATATGTACAATATATGTATGAAGCGACCGCACTAGTTAATTTTAATTTTATTTATCGTGTATCGCAATATATGGAACGTGCCTATCTTACTCACTAAAATTTTAGCCTGTAATCCTGTGCGCCAAATTTTTCTCATTTATAATTATCGGAATCATTCAATTTTACAATAAATAAGAATATTTACGATCGTATATAGTTTTTTTTTATTTATGCGTTCCATACATTTTTCTACAATTGTTCGAATTGTGATTAAAAAAGACAGAGAGAGAATTAAGAAGGCGTATATTTATATTAATTTTCTTAAACTCGCTGAGCTGCTGCGCTACTTTTAGGAAAAAGGAAAAAAGATGTCTTCATACAAATCATATGATAAATTTTATGATTTTAAGTTTATAAAAAACAATGTTTCTAAAATATAAATTAACCTATCATATAAATATAAATCAGTACTTTATAATAAAAGATCTATTTAAAGCAATATTATTTTAAAATAACAGTCAGTTGTTATAAATTACAAATAATAAAAAGTTACGATACAAATAGTGAATTAAAATTCGAGACAGTCTTCTCGTCTATTCTTCTTTCCTCTTTTTCCGCTTTTTTTTCTCTCTGTCTTTTTTTTCATTGAAACGGAAGCAAAGTAGATTCGATAATGAAAAATTCGGTAATGAATAATTAGTCGCCTGAGGAATATTCTAGGATGCATATATCACAGACGCAATGGAAATAAAAATATACTTTATACGATACGTGTATGCATGCAAATAATGATTTAATAATAAACGTATTAAAATTGTATCGATGATAATTATAAATCTCGTGCGCACACATATAATTTACGCGAAAATATACTTTATAGGATGCGTGTATGCATGCAAATAATGATTTAATAATGAACGCATTAAAATTGTGTCGATGATAACTATGGATCTCGTACGCATACATGTAATTTACAAGTTTCGAGAGATAACGAGTTTCTATTAATGTGAAAATTAAGTATGATTATAAATAATACAGGCGTTCTTTTGTAAATAATCACACAGCAATTTTTTCTATTGTGGCCACTTTTTTCGAAAGATAGCCACGCGACTACGAGTCGTAAGTACCAAAAAAAATTCTCTTCTGACATTAATTTTGAAGATTACTGGCATAGGACGTATCAGGATATGATTTCTATGATTTGAAATTATATAAACGAAATATATATTAGACAATATAAAAATATATATGTTGTATGAATTTATAAAATATCTATTTCATTTTATTAACGGTAAAATATTGATTTATGTATAAAATTGTAAACTCATATTGAAAAAAAATTTTTCTCTAATGTGCCCTGTTGCTAATAGTCCTCAACAGCCTCGCGTTATATTAAAATAAAAACAAAAAAAATCCGTGTCGGTATAAAAAAAGATCATGTAAAAAGATACTTTTTAAACAGGATAGTATCAAGTAACATGTAATACTAGAGGGGCCTGTGAGTGAAATAATTGCGATCAAAAGTGTAAAATTAACGAGCCTCATTTCTGATTAGAGTCCTTATACCCTGCGAAGGTATAACAAGAGAAGGAAGCAGTAGCAGCAACGCGATGCACGACATAGAATGATCTTTATCGCGTCGATGCATTTTTCTCTTTTTTGCGCTATAATAGTGATATCGTTATAATAATGATATCGCTATAATAGTGATATCAATGTAAAACTTCATATACACGAGTAAAATACGTGATACGAAATTTCAATTGTGATATATCCCCCTTTATATTTTATATACTAGACATTTTTAAGCTCAACTATACACTTTAAATACAATCGATCGGAGTGTGTAAAATCTTTATAAAAATAAAATAAATAATCTGAATAAATATAGATATACTAATATTATAGTTAGTCAATAAATTATTATATAAGATTATGAGGCACAAAACGCTCGCGAAAAAATCTTTCTAATGATGTAAAATTATTGTCGCGTGCACAGTGTAATTTATACACGCAATTTTCTCTATTCATTGATCACAAGAGATCGAAAATACTGTGTTCGATTATAACTTACAGCGTAAATGAATTTTTTTCTACTAAACTAGGTTTTTCTCACCTCATTGCTTGTTGCTTGAGGACAAATAGAAACTCGAAATGTTAGATAAGTATCCACATCTCCAAACTGACATGGATTAATTAAACAAAATATTACATAAATGATCATACTAAATTCGACTTGAGATTGTTTTATAATTGTTTTATGTTTTCGTGATACTTCTTACTTTTCTCGAGTGCTTTAATCTTTTGTGTATCGTGTACATAATAGCAGGTGATTTTTGCAACATTATTCGTGTAGAGAGGTATCATAAAAAGTCTCAAGTCTCTAAGTATTTAAAAACTAAAATTAAATGATTCGTATGATCGTGATCAATGTTATTGAAATATAGTAAGAAGAAAGTATCGAGTATAACAGATATCACGTAGTAGAATATTGGATAATCGTGATATGTAGTTGTCTCGAGATTCATTTAAGTTGAACATTGGACGATCGATTCGACTTAATATCTACTTTTTTCTCGCGCATGAAATCAAATACAAACACGTCATGGGATGCATTTTCGCGCAAAATCATAATTATGTATGTATGTGATGGTGAATTATGACGGCGAAAGTCGATGGGTTAATGATGACGCGATTTTTTAATTTTATTTTCCTCTTTTTTTTCTTTATACTATTATATCTAATGCATCACATTGTATCATACTATTGAGAGAGAAGATGGTGGTGAACATATTGAATGTGTCAATGATGCGAGATATTCCTCGATAAAATCGATTGATATTAATATCAACCCGCTTTTTGCTGTGGAGACATATTTCTAAAATTGTTGTTATCTGATATATGCAATAATATATCGAAAAAATTCTCTTTTTATATATCTACCACCTTCTTTCTCTCTATCACCTTAGAATAGTAGAGCATCCAGTTGCAGTTGCGCCAATTTTCCGAGATAGGAGATGGGGAATCGTCGTCTGGAAACGTCCCTTTACTCGACTTCCGGCCTCGTTGTCTTCATTGTTTTCTTCCATATTACGTTTTCATTTCCATTTTATCCATGTTTTGTTTTAAGTGAAGGCTTATTTGAGCTATATTATCGATACCGTTCATACAGTTAAGCAACCATATGTAATCCCGCAAGGTACGGAACGTCGCGTTAGACCGCATGTCTTCTCCTCGATATATTAAAGGCATTCTACTTCGCTCGATATTCTGCAGCGGTATTCCGTATTGTACCATGGTTTCTTGTATTTGACAGAGAATCTATAAAAAGAAGCATCAAAATATTAGAGATAATTGGAATATAGAAAGTAATATGTAAGAAAATATATTATGAATCTTTTGATAAAAGAGCACCTATTAACCTATTAACAAGAAGATTGCATTTCAAAAATATTTATAGAACTTTTAATTTTTTTTTGAGTCTATAGTTACTAATTTAAAATTGATATAGATCATTGTAAAAATATCAAGTGTCTTCCAAACATGATGCACCTCGAGAATAAATATAAAAGGCAGAAAATTTCAATATAGGATAGAAAAATATGCGCGCCGAAAACTATTCATGATAAATAAAACGGCAGTTTAGTCTTTTAATGATATTTATGACTTAATTCAATCGTAAAACGTTCGCAAAACTTGACAAAATGCTTTTTATCGCGTTTATAGTAAGGAGGCAGAATAATTTATATCATTGATGCTATTGTGACAATCATGCAAAGCGATTCATTTTTTTACAGCGTAGATTACGGAAGAGAAAATAGAAAATGGAAAATTTGTAGTTTAGCTTAATTATTTATGAAGATAATAGATTTGATCTCAAAAATGAACTCACACTTTGAAATAATACTTCAATATGCACGAATTCCTTAACATGGTCGAGACCTAAGATCTGCTGGTCCCAAATACTCTGTTCCAAACACATCATGTACATCTGTACATTTTCATACATCGTAGTGAGAGCCGTTTTATACTGAAAATATATCAGTTATGTTATCAATCAACTATCTAAAAGTGTATATTTATTTGTATCTATATATCGCATCACATGCTTCGTAAAAATATATACTTCTTAGAGATTGTTGTATATTATTATTAATCTTTTTTTATATATTGTTAATGATAAAGAAGAAGCGACATAAAATAATGTTATCGATAATACGTACGTCTAATTTCTTGAAATCCTCCAGGTTCCATTTAGGCAGCCATGGGTAATGTTGAGTGTCTCCAATTTTGGCGTAGTTATTCAAAGCGTCCCCTATCTGTAAAATTAAAGAAGAAAACTGTGGGCGTGATTGGGTGCATTGCTACGCACAAAAATTAAGCCGCAACATTAAAAAAAGATGCGGAACTATCAAGTTTCTTCATCGTCATTTTTTTAATACGTAAAGCCGTGGAAATTTGAAAAAAATTATTCCGCGTAGGCGTGGGACGCTATTATTATATCGTTCTGCATATCTCTCATATTTATTACGCACGAAAGTTGATTAAGGTATATAAAATGATTCGAAATATGCCTTAGAATAAACATATAATTTACTGTTTCTATCAGGGTCATCTTCGTTCAATCGCATTTATCATATATAAATGCAAATCGTTAATTTTATTTTTTCTTTATTTCTATATCACACTTTTTTATCTCACTCTCAATTTTATTTTCTTGATAAAAAAATCTTAAAAAAAAATACGAATATGCGATTTCGAAAACGCAAAGATTTGGCTACTTTCTCTTGAATAAAGTGATGTATCTCATCGCTTGATATTGTCACTTTGTGAGAGGAGAATCATGGATTGGCGCAACACGCTGCTGTTATTGTATTTCCAGGTATCCGTCAATTATGTCAGCACTGGTGCGAGATGTACCGGATTCGCGTGCTCGCTCTAATTTCTCGCGGTAGCATAACGTAACTCGACGCCACTGAATGTCAGCATGAGTTTAGTCACCGATTACACGTCGTGCAACACCTTTTACACCATCAGTCTCTCGATATCCCTCGTTCCTGGTATAATGAAAACAGGCAGCAGGCCGTGCGAAACGGACGTTGTCGAATGAGGCAGCTTGCGCCGATTTCTCGACGTGGGAGCGCACGCGTGCCAGAAGCGGCGGCACGCTCTGACTTTTCGGGAATACCGGGATGATGGGTCAGCTAACAAAAGTCAGCTTAGTCCTCAGAAATTACTTGGAAACTCGGGCGCCGGGACGCGCTAATTATCCCATCAGGGATCGCTTACATCGAACGAGTCATTGTGAATCACCCAGTGAGTTGAGAAGTGCCGCTGGGAAAACTGAGGGAAACATGCTACCGTTTGCGTATACTAGAGATCGTTTCTCGTACTTCGTTTCGATCCATTATGATGTGATTTCATGTAGAAGATTGTTTCAATGTATCTATTTCAATGACGAAAATTAATACAAGTGTTATTCCAATAGTTTATATCATATAAAATGAAATTTTATCGTATAATAATTATGCATAATGATTATGTAATATTTTGCGCTCGATGCGTTCAGCCCTGCAAGCTTTCGAAGTGTGAGATAGGTCATTGGTCTCTTATTATGATAAACAGTTATGATCAACAGTTTGATTTGAAGAATCAAACAACCGTCTAAAAGACGGACATCGTGATATTAATATTCTCTCTTAATAAACGGTATCTAATGGAGTTTATATGCAGAGAAAGATGATTCAGCATCATTGATCTTATATTTTGAAGTAATTGTTTTTGACACAGATAACGCATCATATGTACATCATTATCTCAGGCAGGAATGGCAATAATGATCGTATGATACTACTCTCATGACCTGCAATGCGATAATACCTTCGATCGCAAACAACATTCCTGAGAACTAACACTGTCAAAGAATCACATGTTGCGTAGCCTGATAAATCATATGTCTTCAATGTCTGTCCTATGTAATGCATATAATGCCATGGCAGAAAAACAAGTTTATGAACTCGCATGTAGGTTGATGAACGAAAATAGCGGCACGCCTGAAAAATAAGTATACATGACAAACGGATTTCGAAGATACGACAGCGGCGCGCGAGGGTAACTCATAGAAAGGCGGCATCGCAGTAGTCATTCATTAAATTCATTCCCTCGTTATAGCATGTTCGATCTCGTGTACCTGCGGACACTCGTGCGCCGATCGATGATCGGTCCTTCTCACGCCCCGGTCGTTACGAAAGCATCCAGAAGGATACAAAGATATCTTTTCGGCCCATCACTTTGTATCAAAAAAATATTAAATACGCACGGTGGTCGGCCACCGATTGCGTCATCAGTCGTTATTGCTAATAATACCAATAACGATATCTCGACCGCAAAGTTTTCTAAACGTGTAGACGTATAGGTAATGAGAGATTTGATGGGTAATTAAATGAAATTTTACGATAATTTTGTGCAAGCAATCCTCTAATAAATACATTAGCGAGACCTACGTGTCTACCTACGCGTAGAGCTCTCCGCTAAATCTACGTTTGCCTTTCCTTCTTTCAGGTGCCGAAAAAGAACTCGTTTTCATCGTCGCGTTTTATGATGTGTTAGTTACATTCGCGCGTGACGGCTCTCATTCCGCTTGAATATCGATACTGTGGTACAATTTCTCATTTTGATGCGACATCAAGGATGACACGTAAAGTTATAAAGATCATTGATCTTTGTTTCACGCTCCGAAGCGTTTAAATTTTCCTTCTTTGCACTTTTTCTGCTACGAGACATATAAATACGAAGGAATTGCGAGAGCAAGAACGAGCAATGGGAGAAGTGATAAAAGCAAGATAAAAAGGAAAGAATGAGAAGAATTGTCGCTAACAACCACTGGCGGCGGACAAATCTGTGGCGCGGGTCTTTTGTGCCTCGTAAAAGTCTCGTCGGCCACACTGGGACCACACGAATAATCGTAAAACCGAGCTGGAAGCTGGCAGGAAGTAGGTTGGAAAGAATAGGTACGGTCTCCGCGCGCGGCGCTGCCACGAGGACCCGTCAAAATCAATTAGCCTTTCAGTCTTTCTTCTAGCGCGGCTTCATCATTGCACCGCTTATTAGAAGTTATAAAATTTCGGTGTGACGGTGATTTCAAGAGTCGATCGAATGCCTCGCAAGTTCGACACATTCTACGAATGTAAAGAGAGAGAGACCGCTAAAACTGGACTTTTTGATCTAAATATTCTGGTAATTTTTTAATAGCATCGCGCCTTAATTGAATAAATCATTAGATTTTTTCTGATATAAAAATCGTATCATATCTAAAACATCCAAGCAAATTTTTTTAGAATTTTTTAAGAATAGAGATTAAGAATTCGCGATCGCGACGATTGAAAAATATGTTATTGCGCAAAGCAGCGACGCGAAGCAGAAATCGAAACGCAGCATGGTAGAAGAAATGTGTCGTATCGAGACGAGTACATGCACTGGCAGGTTGTATATCCGGTCTGAGTTTTAGTATGCAGGCGATGTGCCGATGTGGCGTGCCCGTCCGAGGCGGAGAGGGGCAGCTTCCGATTCTGATTTATTGGAATCCTCCGCTTCCGATATTTTATCCGATTCCTTCACGTACGCGATGCAAACACCGTCCGTCGCGATCACGACGGATTGCGGACCGCCGAATTCGACTTATTAAGTTGTACACAAGGACGTACGATGAACTGTCACGACGACGAAACAATGAAAGTTTCGCGATAAACGTGTAACAGAAGAATGAAATGTACTAGAGCCATAATCGAGGCTTTAGTCCATATAATAGGGCAATTATAAATGTGCTCTAAAGATTCTCAATCATCCCGGAAGCTTCGCAGAAAATTCTTTTTCCAATTGCGAGAGACCGCGAGACATTTTTGTGCAAATTTTCTTCGCGTTCGCGCCATGAGATGCATCGATCGTTTCCGCCGTTTTGCTTATATCCTTGACTAATCTAATTTTTCCACTCAGTAGACAGTCTAAGCCGATAACCGATAACGAGTGTCGGAAGATGAAATCATACTGGACCACTAGACAGTATGTCGCCGTCGATATCAAGTGAGAAAGGCGCCCCTGAAGCTTAGCCTCGACGCTCACGACAAGGAGAGGAACCTGACTCTTGTCTGCTCAACTATGACTTCACTCTTTTTCCATGTGATTCTTTCTATGTCGCAAGTAGCGAGGCATTTACACGTGTGCAATTTATTGTCTTTCCTGTCAAGGGTAAGAGCGTATCGTATTATGCGCTGACTTAGAAAACATCGGCATCCAGTATCGCTGTGCGATGATGTAACGGGAATATTTTCTAGTCGCCTTCGGCCGGGGCTTCAGGGCGAGACGGACCCTGCGGAGAGGTATAAATACCCTTTTTTAATGGACGCGACGAATGTTAATTTACTCGGTCATATGTTCGTTTGGATAAGTAAATACTATTTGCGCGAGGGAAAGAAGATTTTTGGTCTTAACTTGTTCAATGATCATGGATCTTTATTTCTGAATATCATTATTTGACAAAATGTAGCCATTTAGGAACTAATGATTGTTTGCTTTTTGGAATTAATAATTTTTCGCTTTTTGGAAGCTTGAGTTTTCTTACATTGTCGTAACATGCATAATAAAGAATTGCGGTTCTAGATTGCATATAAAAATTATCTTGAATAAAAATTATCTTTTTTGAAAGAAACAAAATTTCGCATGCGAAACATTGCCTTTGCTTCTGCGGTCTTCAAGTCGGTCTTTTTTTTAATCGTTTTTAAAGAGAAACCTTGAGAAATCGCTTCGATCTGGTGCGTGATTTATTATCCTTGGCCAAAGATAATAAGGTACGATTGGTTGGGAAGATTCTTTCGAAACAAAAATTTCTCATGATCATATGTATTTATCTGTCTCATAAAATCGATCACATATTACTTTTGAAATTCAAATCGCAATCGCAATTTTTTTCTTGAAAATAACTGTTAATAATAAAAGGTTAAGTTTCGTAATTCAATAGAGATATAATAAGTAAGGAAGATTTATTTATTTTTAATAAATAATGTGTGAAGATAAATTTTTTTATATTTAATGTATTTTATCTAAATGTCAATTTTTTTATATTGCAATTTAAAATATAAATTGTACTGAAAAATTTCTATCATTACTTTTAATTCTTATTTTTATTAGTAATAAGGAAAAGAAAGACCTTAATAACGCGCTTTCAATCACCATAAAAACGTGACATAATTCACAAGATCGAGATCTTTTTCAGAAGTCTATGCGACTCATGAAACTACGATCAATGAACGACCGGAAGTACTACCATAACCACCTTCCGTTTGAAGTTCTCTCACTCTATCTGTTCCTCCCCCCTTCCCCAGGTTTCTAGAAGGCACGTTAGTAATTATCCAAGCATTGATGAGTTTAATATTAAAACTTTCGATATATATAGTGATTTTTTTTAATCCGCCAAAATGAATGACAATGATAGCACACGAATAGAATTCTCGAAAAGGATGACGATGGGAAACATTGATTTTACGCGAAATATAGATTTTATTACTTACAAAAATCTTCATGAACTCTTTAGTGCGTACTGCTGCACTTTCCGATAGGAGGCGTATATTTTCCATAAGTTCATCATATCTTTGCGGAGCCTCTGTGAGGTCTTTATCCAAAACATCTTCAGAGTCTACAACACTACCACAAGGTTCCACCCATGGGGGGGTTTCAAGCAATTTTCTGTAAATATCCTCTCCTATTCTTACGTTTTTGTCAGAGTTTATATACTCGTCAACATGGAACGGCATTGGAGCACTGTGTACCGACGACGTTAGTAGAATCACAACTACACAACTGGACAACCAGGATAGTCCTGAAAATAAAAATGATTATGTTAGATTTGTCGGCCAAACGATTTTTATGCTGTGGGTTTAAGTATCGATCACAATGCCGCTATTGAATTGTGCCCTTCAATTTTTTTAATATTAAGAGATTACAATTTAATATTATGATATTTAAAAATACTTTTATTTATTCATATATATGAATTATATATAAATGTATTTATGTAATTATATATGATATTAAATGTAATTATATATGATATATAAAAATACTTTTTTTTATTCATATATATGAATTATATTGTAATTAGAATGAGGTCGACGAGGAATATTTCTTTTCTCATTCTTTTATTTTCATATTGCTGACAAGGCATTTTAATGTATGTATGAGATACAATAGGAAGTTGTATAGCGATCCTCGAAACAGTTACATTAATACAGGCGTGGCGAATGAATGTCGCAAAATTGAAGTTGATCATTTTGCGATGAAAATTTAACTTGCGTACGGGCATCATTAACGGAATTAAAAAATAAAAAACAGAGATACAGTTCAATAATCAACGATTTGACGTGAGAGCCTGCGTGAAATTATCATCGAGCTTCCGGCTCATCGAGCCCTTTACTCTTCTCTGTTTCCACCCTCCGGGATTCACTCGTCGATAGTAAGCGCCTAAATGGTAGATTCCGATCGGGACCGTCTTATGATCATCCGGCAGTTTCAGGATCACCGCTCATCGAATTACGTGCCCGTGAATTCGTCGTCGCATTATTACGCGAGTTACGACCCTTGATGAGGGGCCTCGGATCACGTGCACCGATATGACGACAAACCATCAACGGTTGCGTACGCATTTGGACGATATATAACGACAAGAAGCTACCGCATACGTGTTGTCTGCATTTAATCCGTGCCTCCCTCTTGGCCACCATTTTAAAAAGGTTTCAAGTGCATAAGTCGAGCAGATATTATTGCGAAATGTAATTTCAATTTAAATCGTTTCTTGTACGACATGACACATTTTACATTTGTAAACATATTTTCGCGATATTTTATCTAATTATCTAAATTTTCACATTAAAATCTGTCTTTTAAATCAAATATGATTTGGAAAAATTATACGTGTACGGTCACCATAAATTTGTATCGTGAAAAAAATATTTTTTCTTAATTAATTTTTTCTATTATCATTATTTGACAAAAATTTATCAAAATATTTAACAATATCATGTCTTGCAAAAACTTATAATTATATATGAATAACGATATTTTTCAAACAAGCAAAAAAAACCGTATCAAAGTAGGGATATCGAAGAGAGGTGAAGATTCGAGTATCAGATTAACTTGTCGCTCTCGACGAGATGAATAGTCGCGCGACCAAAAACCGGAGGTGCGTCGTGCCATCCATAGACGCTAACGAATTTAATTTTAATGTGCGTGAACGTATGATGCAGCGTGGCCAGCGGACGCGACGTACGAACAGAGGGAGACAGAAATGCAGACGGAGAAAGAGCAAGATGAGGAGAAAACGAAGAGTGGGACGGGGCGTAGGGAGACGCCTCGGACACTTAACGCATATTAATGAGCGGCTCTTAAGTGCGTTCTACGTTGCGATGAGAGAGCAATTTGCCGTAGGGAAGTTTGCGCCCTAAACTGACAACGCAAAACCGTGTCGGTCAACGGCGGCGACATGTTGCCATAACTTTCGACGCAAACATGTCACTTCCGATACGTTCGAAAATGCAACGATCCGCTATTAGTTTACAGAAATAATCGCGAGGATGTGATAAACGTTAATTGTGCGTTCTGAAATTTGTATCAGATGGATATATTACACAATCAATTACGATATGCGGAATAAAAAATACACAGGAGACGAGAAGTCATAATTTCTTATACATATATACATACAACTTGAAAAAGGTATTATTGCTGTTGCAATGTATGAACACATTTCGATTTACTATTTGTTTCTGTTTCCGCAGTTAATTGTACACAATACACGATGGCGTTATTGAGAAAAATATCTGTTTTTGTGTTTTATTTTTGTTAAAGGAAAAAAATAATATCTTCTATCTACGACAATTCTAACGGAAGGCATCCAATTAATGATGTTCGCTAATGATGTTAGGAGAAACATGTACTTACAACGAGCTTTTAGTCAATATTTAGCACGAACAGGCCTATATCGAGAAATGGTCATTGCAAATATTTTTATCGTGTCGCAGAAAAAAAATTCACGTAAATGGTCCACGTAAATGATCCACGTAAATGATCTTAATGTCCACGATTGTATTTCCTTACTTGTCGCTCATAAACATCATTTACTTTCTCTTATTTCTTTAATTATGCTATCTCTCTTTTTTTCTTATATTTAATTGCTATGCAATTAATCTTCTATGATCGGTTAAATTTGTCGACGGAGAAAGCCATACGAAGTAAAATAAACTTTCAGACAACTTCTCATTTTTGAAGGGAAAAAAATTTAACGGCAGCCAGCTGCTTAGAATTCACTCTTATATTCGTCTAATCGAAGGGAACGTTGCGGATTTAATTGTACTTTACTAAAACATGTCGATATATGATCGAAAAAAAACTTCTTGATATATACTAATGCTATGTTCCTGCTAGTTTCCTTTCATTATAAATGAGTTTATATTGAATACAGTTTATATTGAATACTTTGGAGTGAATTTTTATAAAGAAATGCATAAATTGAATTTTTTTATATATCTGTAAGACAAAATATGCAGCACGCAATTTATAAATGTTTCGAAATTCTTTTACTCTATTTATTGTCATTCGTGTCATACTTTCTTACGAGTTTGACGTCATTTTCGAGCAAGCCGATGAACGTATTAGTCATCCGTCTTGTAACGGTCCTCCTTATCGATTCCTCATTTACAGGTTTGCGGATCTTAAATCTGTATGCGCTTTATTCATTATTTTATCTACTTTTTAAATTCAATTCAAGATATCTAATTATAGGGCTCTAGAATTTCTTCAAATAAATTTAAAATACGCGCCGAGTATACAGTTATATTTGCTTTCGTCCGCCCACCTGTTGAATCTAGTGGGATTCCTCTACAGGTGGTTTAACCCCAGCTCTTTCACAAACTCTATTACAGGTTTATCTTTTGACTATCTGCCAAATCATTTTTCTGTTGCAAGATAAGAGATATGCAGTGTCTCATAACTTATTATGAGGTGTGAATACAGAAAAATTTCTTGTAATAAAGCAAAAAAAAAATAATATAAATTTATATGAAAAATGCTAGTGAGAACTTAGTATTATTTTTGCATGATGATGAAAAATAGCAATCCATAATAAATTGATGGATACACACACACACGCGCCGCGTATCGCGACCTACCGCAACGCACTTCGATCCATGGACGCGAACGGAAGAAAAGAGAGTAGCGGGTCGGGTGTAATGGGGTATAATTGTCACGAGCAATGCGAGGACAGTGCGTCATTACCGCATTTTTCATCGTCTTTCTTGCTGGCCGACAGCAGAGATGCGCTTTGCACCGGTGTTCACCGGCTTGCGAGCCATACTTTTTTCAATGCGGCCGCGAGTTCTTAGGAATTTCGATGGAACGCCGTCGTTTAGCGTCGTCGTTGAGGTAGGCCCTTGTAATATCGGCGACGGTATGCGGGGAAAAGTGTAAAAGAGGGTAAAATGATAGACAAGTTTACCACCTGATAAATATTTCGTGGCTTTCAGTCAACATATGTTGATTGATAAAACGACAGAAATTATGACGAAAAGAACTATACTTCAAAAATGTGCAAGTTGAAAAAATATGATATAAATTTCGTTTATAACGAAAAGAAACGCACAGCAGTATTATATCAAGTAGAAGTTTTCTGTCATATGAAATGATTTTACGAAATATAATAAAATCCGCGACGTTCCTAGGTACAAGAGTAAATTCTATAGGCAACTATCTTAAATCTTAAATTTCTTTCTTCTTAAGAATAATAACTTGTTGTCTGACAATATGCCTATATTTCATCTTGTATCTTTGTCTCTCTTGACCAAATTAATCGATTATGGAAAACTGATTTATTTCCAAACACTATCTGCGTTTAAAATTTAGAAACAATTCTAAATATATTTTGTATACAAAATGTATTCCATATTATAAAATAATTCTGATTAAAAACATTTACAAAATAAATTTTATTACTATTGACAAATGCAATAATAGATAAATGTTAACGGACACATGGAAAAAATGACACAATATTATATAAAAAAATTGTAAAACTTATAATTTTCATGAGCTAATAAAAGGAGTATGTAATCAACAATTGAAGAAAATCAAATCAAGTATATATTTGTAGATCACAGTATACTTAAAGATCGACATATATTTTCCAAGGGTACTTGTCAAGGGACGTTCAATGATTAAGATTCCAAGACATAGGTTTTACCGCCAAGTCATAAGTCGATTCGGGTATAGCTTTACGAGTCACTCGAATTTTTTGCTTATCAATATCAGCCAACTAACAAAATTTTTTAATTTATTCGTTTACTAATCGATAATTCTAATCGGATTATTGCATAAAAAAAAGATTTGTTGAGTTCTATAATTTTATTGAGTAAATATTTTTTACGTTAGAGAAATTCCTAAAGATCAGCATATGAGTGTCTTTTTTCTTTTCATGTTTTTGTTTTTTTCTCTTATTCTTTTGCTTGATGTTACAAAAGATATTAATAATGAGCAAGGAGTATAATTGACAGGCTTGATGCAAATAAAGCAAATCTTGATATGATTTCCAAATCAATTCGTAGAAAGCCTTGCAACCGGAAAGAGGATGCAACTTTTATATTGTCAACGACCACGCTGTACGAAGATAGAACAGTATAAAACAGCCGAAATATTGTTGAAATAATTACATAATACTATTATGTTGCTACTAATCTTAAGTTAATCAATGTTTAGTTATGTTATATCAATGTTGAGCATAGCAACATAATAAAATTATTTTTTTCATTTGTCAATTAATATCATTGCTCGACTTATATCTCGTCTTATATTATTGAATTATTTCAATACATGATACTTTTATCTGATCGTTATTCATTTTTAAGATAAAAATTCTCATTAATTCTTAAAATCTCAATTCTCATTAATTCGTACGTTGAAGAAATTAAAATTTAATTATTTTTATAATAATGATTTTTTCCCCAAATATTATTATAACAGTCAAACTTGCTCCATGATAAACACAATTGATGATATTTCGACTTACTTAGCCACGTGGACAATATCCTGACGAACGTGATGAATGCAGTACGAATCTTCTGCGCTTTTCGATCGTCGTAAAACGCCGGCATGAGATGCGAATTATATGGTAAGTGTCTTTTATCACAATTATTTCCCGCCGTTTTTTTAATTGTCGCTTCAGTGCTACGATTATTCGCAACGATATCATCCTGGTATTTAGGCGGCAACGTTGAGTTCAGTGCATAGCTTTGCACGGTACGGTCAAGGACCCGATGGGACGTAGTCCTCTGATCGCGGGTGAGTATGACTTCCATCGTTTGATCGATCATCACGTTTTCCACAATTATAGTGATATAACACTATCACTCTAGGTGTGCGCGTCTCTCGCGTCAACGATGTATGTATATGAATAATAGATATACACGTGCGTTATATATGTATATATATATATCTATATATATGTATGTATATGTATGGATGCCGAGGATGATGCGTGTGTATATGTATATATATGTATATATATATATATATATGTATTTGTGCTCCGATGTCCTGTCGTCACCGATTCCGGTCACTTCGCCGAGGGGTTGTCACACTTGAAAAACTGTGCGCACAGAATCACAATCCGTTTGGCACTGGTTCGAGACACGCGATACACTCATTCTTATACGACAGGGGGGAAGGGGGGTTGTGGGATCCCGAGAGAGAAAGAGGAGGGGGTGGGTGCTTGACAAGGTGGCGGGGGTACTTAAGAAGAAGAGAAAGAATCAAAAGGGTACACCGTTAAGGGTGGCTCACGTATATGCTTTTCTTTTTTCTCAGCTTTCGATTATCCTCTTCGCACCGTTACTTTTATTCCTGCAATTCCTTTTATCCTTTCATGGTCACGCCCTTGCAAAACTGTTGGTTGGTTGGTTGAAAAGGTAATCTTGTTTCCAAAAGAAAGTCGTTTAGTTATCCGAGAGAGAGAAAGAGTAAAGCTCAATCAATCAGATGCGAACAAATCGACATAATAGGCGAGCGAAGAAAATTCATTCGTTGTCATATGCAATAGGACCATATGTAAGGAAGAAATGAAAGAAAATGACTTCTGCTTCGTATGTTCTTCAATGTTGTCTTTATTGCTATTCTTTTTCGTTTTCTTTTTTTCTCCTTTTTCTTTCTTTTCGTTCACGAACGTAACTCTCTTTCACTCTTTCTATCACTTCGTGCGCCAATGTATGACTGTCAGTGTATGTACGGGCCACTCAGTCGACCGGTGCCTATATACGTTATAAAGCCGCCGAAGCACGTGGCCCGCACCCCGCTTTCGGCCAATCTCCCACCATCCTCGCCCTTCCTCGATCACCCGCGCTTGGTGTTACTTACTTCTTTCCATCTTCTATTCTTCCTCCTTCTCTTCATCATCAGAGTCGCCGCCACTGCCACCTCCTTCGTCGCGTCCATTATCTCTTTTCCCTTCTCCTACTTGCTGTTTCTCCATCCTCCGACTCCCTGCCCCTCACTGTTGGGATTTGCAGTGGTTCAGGACTTCGCGACTCATTCATAACTCCCTGCGACTGACTCGCTATCCCCACTCAATCGACTCCCACCACGCGTACGTAGTAGGCGCTAGTCCACCCAACCAAGTGATGCTACATCGACTCACAGTTGACCTGCCGTCACAGTTTCATCTCCTGAATCGACGATCTTGAGTATTACGTATGGATGCGGGAGTTTCCTTGTACTTGTCAATTGATATTCGTCGAAGCGGGTCGTAACCCTTTAATTCTTTGACTTAAATACTACTGATATAATTATAATTTTATTTTTTTATAATTGTCTTTTTATAATTGTATAATAATAACTATTTTTTAATTTTATATAATTGTTTAATAATAACTATTTTTTAGGTTTATAATTTATTTCTTTTATTTCATATAATTTTATTTTTACTGGGCATTGCATTCAAGATATGTAAAAATAAAAATTTAACCGAAAAGAAATTTAAATCACAATGAAAAACATAAAAAATCTAAATGAAAAATTTAATCTTAAAAATTTAATCTTAATAATTTAATCTTAAAAATTTAAAAATTTTTCATTTTTCTCCTACTTATTACATATTTTGATAATTTTTATGATTTATATAGAATAGATAATAGTTTGTTTTGTGATAGATCAAATTCACAATTTAATGAACGCATTTTTCGTAACAGAAAATATCTTTGAGCATGTTTATATAAGTATCACTTTAAGTTAAATATGCAGTTTTTAAACCTTATATTGAAATCATAATTAAACAAAATATTGTTCACGGCATAAGGATTTTTTTTTATCACAAGAAGGTAATGTAATTGATCAATATTCTTCATAAAAATCATACTATATTAATATAATGATAAAATAAATCTGTCGATATAGGGCTAATTATATCATAAGACACTCCGCTTATAAAGACGTGCGTCAATAACTCAGTCGTACGCACGATTCCATTAATTGCCGCCGTCGACGAAGGCATGACACCATTCGTTATCCTCAGTATATCGTCAAGAATCTCATATGTCCGTAGCATTTTCATAGTATCAAGTTTCGTGATCATTGCGAAGAGTTCATAGCATTAATGAACAGTGCTAATGATGGTGAATCGCGATTCTTCGTCGTATTTCGCTATTCTTCTACGTCAGAATGTGTATCTACGTTTCCGTAGATATAATAATAACACTGACAGTATGATGATGACGTTAATAGTAATTATTACGTTGTTTCGCTGTTCTTATGTAATGAGTGTTGGTGTTAGATTAAAAACGAAGTCTATTATTAAAGTTTGCAACAAAGAGTACGAACAAGTGCCTGTAGACTTGTTATCCAAAATTTTTTCAACGCGAGATTGAACTTTATTTTTGACTTAAAATAAAGTTTATGTGTAGGTTACTAATATACAGATTTCCAGGTTGAATTACTGGTTCATTTTCATTCTTATAAAAATTTTAATTTTTACCTTTATAATTATTACTTATTTTACCAATCTTCTAAAATGTGAACTCGATCCATTGAGAAACATGGATATTCGTATCTATCATATTAAACTTTATTTTAAACCAAAAATGAAATCCAGTCTTAAGTTGAGAAAATTTTGGAGAACAATTGTGCTAAATATTATTTTATTTTGCAAATTTATTAAGCACATTTATTTCTTTTTATTGCACGTATATATTTCTCTTTTTATTTTGCATAATGTTATATTTTATATTGAGAATTTTTATTTTATTTTATATTAAATATTTCATTTGTATCTCTAAAATCTTTCTCAGTATTTTAACACGTCAGCAAGGATGATTGAAAATGAAATGTCATTTCTTACGTTTTCCTCCAAGTTTTTTTAGCACATCAGACTTTCGAGATAAATGAGATTAAAGAAATCAAGAAGTCGATTTCGAAGACGATATTCAAGTAACAGAATAGCAATTATTTCAGAGTAATTTGATTGATTGAGTCAGAAAATTTTATTATTCATCTCCAAAATCAATTTTGATTTTTCCCGATCCGATATTTTGTCATTGAGATATACCATTTTGAAGATAGACATATTTTGATATGTCATTTTGAAAGATCCTTATGGATTAAGGATTTGGAGCTTGAAGCACAAGATTTTGGAATTTAAGGGCTTGAAAATTTAGACTTTAAAGATTTAAAGATTAATGATTTAGGATTAAAAAAAGCTTGTGTTCTCAAGTCTGGGACTCATGATTTATAGGCTTCCATGTATGAAAATTCTTCTTTAGTTCCTTAGTCTTTAAAATGGTATATCTCGGCGATAAAATATGATCGGATCGAGACAAATTAGCTACAAAATATTGTTAGAATAAATCAAAATAGATTTTGAAGGAAACCAACTAAATAATTCTGAGCCAACTGCTATTCCAGCAGTTACCTGAAATGCCTGAATACCATGATGACCAAAGTTATTATTTTCACCTCTTTAGTCTCATTTAGCCTCATCTATTAAAATCCTGACATGCTAAGCAAATTTGAATATTGGATTCAGTGCTAAAAGTCATATAGAAAATAACTTTTCAATTTGAATCATACTTCACTTATATTTGCAGATCAGTGTAATTGGTAAATTTTATATATTTATTTTTATATATTTAATTTTTATATATTTAAACTTTTTTCTTCGTAATCCATGTATTGTTAATTTATCATAATTGATATCATATTACATCCGATCAAGTACATCCGATGTCGATGAAACTTTCTTTCTCTATAACTGCGAGGAGATTTTTATCTGATCGAATAATCCAGATTCTCCTCTTGCGCTTTGAAATTTCCCACTATGGCGCCCATAGTCCCCACTCAAAACGGCATCCATATCCTCTTTTACCTCCCACTTAAAGTCAGTGATGACGTTTCCTTTCACTAGCTCTCGATTGCTTACGCACATTGCCGTACCTTGGACGGATTGAAGTTGGAAGCATCCGCGTGTATGACAAATCCATGTACTTCAAAAAGAATTTTCTTAGAATGCACCGGACTCAGGAAAAGATAGAATTTAAACTGGCAAATATTTTCGGGGAATCTAGTTTAACGATTCGGATGAGATCAATTAGAGTTAGACAGAGATATTTGGAAGAGATTTCTAATTAATTATTGTAAGAGAGTTAATTCCATTTAACTATTACGTGCAATGTTGCGTAAGTTTCAATATATATAACTTAACTATAACAGTTATATAATTATAAGTAGCTATAACAATTATAATTGTTTTTAATATCAAATGATAGAAGATTTATAATAGAATATATAGACTGTTTCTATTAATAGTTTAATATAATAATTATTAATTATTATTTACATGTTAGATGAAAATATTTTTAAAAAATGTTAAAAAAATTTATTTTACCGGTACAATGTAATTTCGAAAAAACTTTTTAATATTAGTTTGCATTAGATAATTATTAGATGTTATGAATAAATAATATATAAGTAATACATACATAATTTTAGAGTTACGTCAGCAGTTATTTGAAAATCAAGCGATTGGATCACATACGAGACAGCCGTTTGTAGTTTCTACTGTGACTGATTGCGCCAGATGATGTAATCAATAAACAGTGAAATAAACTTTTTATAAATCGAAAACACCTGATCTCTTATACTTGCGCACGCACTTAATTTTCGATTTATTAGTGTTATTTATTAATTATCTGTAACTAATTTCATTGTTTTACTTAAATCGTTAAAAAGATACTGTGATTTCCCCTATAATCATGACGACAGTTAGAAAAGAAGATTTCGAGATAGTTAAGAAGCGCTCAACACAGGTCAATTCTCCAGGTTAAGTGTGCCGGATATTAAGCAAATCAGGAAGTTTCACATAAATAATATCGAAAATATATATTAATACAGGCGTGAGA